TACAAAGTGTCTTGGAAGTGGAGTGCCTCTCATCCCCCAGACAAGAACACATACATCACCCCAGCACTAGATTACATTTCTTATGCATGCCTGTCCGGATGGTAAACACTGCGGCACTCGGCAAACTCCCCATAGCTGTCCTACCGCTCGCCTAAAACCCAAATACAGCAACCAAAGACGACGCCTTGCAACTCCATTAGCAAAGTTTCCCAAGAAGAAAGGAAAATATCTTGGATTTTAGCCATCTGAATGAGACTTGAAATTACGTAAAAAACTTGCAAACGTTGATAGTAAGAGGTTTACATGGGATACTATAGCATGGTATACAGATGTTACAAGCCAATTTTGTTGACGAAAAAAAAAAATACAGTTTATGCTACCCAGCCCACAAGTAATAATCATTGTCTTTGATACATTTGGTCCAGTTATGGTTCAGTTGGCATGTGTAACTTGTTTTGTTCAGAGAAATCTAAAAGCCAATTTAAAATGTATCATTTAGTCACAAAACCTATAATTGCAACAACAAAAACCCCCGACCAAAATGAGTTTGTATCCTGGGGTATGTTTTCCCCTATGAAAGCTGCCGGCAGAACTGGTTGAAATGATTGAATATTCACAAGGCCGATCCTCCAGTTTGGGAGCGTTCATTAACTAGGACTACAGCCGGCTCAAAATAATTTCCCCATGCATTGATTAGTTGAAGTAGAAGTCATGAATGGAAGATACAATTTTACATTTCAAAAGCATAAAGCTCCATGCACGTGACTCAAAACTGTATACACAAGAAAGGTATATTTAAAAGTAGGAAAAAGTAGGAAAAACTTACAACAACCTTACATTTTCAACTACACATTTCAAAAAAGTTATCTACGTTTAACCATCTAAGAGGAATCCATGGGGGAATATGTTCAACAAGTGGTATCTGGACAGTAATTCTTGGTTAATAGACTGAAAAAATACATATTAATCCAGTATATATATAGGAGTGCAGTAAATATCATAAAAATATAATAAGTATATTATAATATCAATAATGTTATAAATCTCGGGGGGGGCATTAGGAGAGGCGCCAAAAGTCTTTGTTTAATCAAAGTGTTTCAAATTGTTTCAAAATCTATTTAATCAAATTGAAAGTCCCCTGTATCTATCGGTCTTGGGCCATTCGTAACAAGATACAGATAGACCAAAAATAGTCTATTTGGGAATTTGTGCATAAAAAACATGAAAAACGTGAAATAAAGCAGACCAAAAGCCTTTACCCTCAAGGTATAGTCCCTTAAACCACAAAGATTGCCCTATTCGTTATGCACTGTTTTCTGTTGACTCTAATTTCCAGTGACCATCTATATCAACTAATTTACGTTAACAAACTTAATTGAACATTCTCATCAGCAAATTGTCAAATTAACCTCAGGCACAGCTCATCTTTTCAGGTGTCCCGCCTCCACTTATCCAGGGCCAAACTTCTGTAGCCGAGCCGGAAGAAGAAAAATCGTTAGTTTGAATGAGTTTGGCTTCTCAGAGTCACCCAGGACAGGAGGGCAGCCATGGTGAAACTCTGGCCTGTCTGCATTGATCTGCCCTGCTCTCTAATCTCATTTACTGCGTCTCGATTTATTGAGAAGGGGCCTTACAGCGCGGCAAGGTTACGGCCACACTCCCCCATTCCCCCACCACCCACGCTGACCGCATATAGGGTCACTCCATATCGAGGTCAATTGACTATCCTCCCACCGGCGATAGCCATCTCATTAGCACTGTAACTTTGGGGTTTGGTGCTGGGAGGCTTGCAGGGGGGCACGAGTGGGAAATCGAGTTATAAATTATGGTCTGTAATGAGGTGAAGAATGTGGGATACAGCGGTTACAAGCCATACGCCACGCAGCTAATAAAGCCGCGCGCGATACGGGCGTCAGAGGCGTTTATTGATTACATTGCAGCAGGCAGGTAAATGGAGCGATAAATAAAGACACAAAGTAAACAGTGGAGCAGGTGCAATTAAACACCTATCCAGCAGTTCTGATGAGAAACATGACACTGCACCACTTTCAAGCCTTAGCAGAAGCTATAATGATTTATTTATGGACATGTAGCTCTAAAGTGCACTTAAAGCAAGGCTACATGATTCTCAGACTTGCTATAACTCTTTATGTTTAGTATGGTAATTTGTAAATCGTAATGTTGATCTACAAGAATGTTACGAAAGGAAAAAAGTATTTTTTTGTCCGGATGTGTTCTCTGCTCTGTCACGTGACAGCAGTGGACAAAACGGTCACATCAAAGACCCTGCAGGCCACGCTCATGCCACAGATCAAGTTATCAATCTGCTGGGTTTCCCCGTGGAGCAATAAAGCCTGTTCACCGCTACGGAGTCATCAATCATATCACAAAGTAAACCAGTGTGCAAGTATTGCTTTTCAAAGGAACTCAAAGAGTGAAGGTCGCCCGCAGTACATGTTTAACTGGTGTTTATATTTTAATATGATTTCCCTGTAAATATGTATTCACCTCTAGTCATTTCTGTTGTTCTTCTATACTATACTCGTTCATGTATGTTTTCTCTTGAATTTTGTTATCAGTCATTTGGTTTTCTGTTCTCATTATTACCACCTGTAACCACTTGATATTACAGGCCAAGTTGAAAGACCTGTGAGGAGTCGAAACACGTCACAATGTCCCCACAATAATAAAAGATTTTTATTTTGTGTCAGAGTGCCTCGGACCTTTCCCTCTTTGTTTTCCACTTAATTTTCCTTTCCTTGAAGAGCACCTGACCGCTTACGTTTACCGTACATTTTTTTATCCCTGTAAATTCACTCAGTCCTCTTGTATTTCTGCTGAACTCAAAGAGAAATTGCACCATCTATGTTGGTTTATCTCATCCTCCACCGCAGAGACGTGCAGTCAGTCACTTCATTGAAAAAAACTAAATATTTTAGTTGAAATATATAATAGTTTTCCACTGTCCTATGCTTCTAATGTATTTTTGGCATGGTTCCGACCAGTTTTGATCATTTCTGTAGTCAAAATCGCTGAAATCCTATTTTTCCCATTCAAAGAGACGAGGTGAGGCAGCGCTCCTGCCTCCCCCAGATCGCTCCCTCACAGTGGACTGTGCGAGTGCACTCAGCTCGTGATGGTTGATATATTGCTATTTGTTTCTAATATCCTGCTTTGAAAACATTTGTGAAACTTGTCATAGTGTTTAGTGATGTATTGCACGTATGTATGTGTGTACTATTCATATTTATTTGAAGTTTTGATCGGAGAAGAATACACAAGGAAAAAGCTTGGCGTGAGGCAGACAGTATCTGTGCCTCACCGCTAGGGGTGATAATGAGCATGAAGTTCATACCCGAGTTGCTAACATAGACTCTAAATATTTTGCTAACCAACAATCACTCCTCCTGTCGGTGCTATTTCTTTTGCTGGAAAATGAATCACTGGATTGAGGATTTTTTTTCTCAACTGGACCATCAATCAAAGCAAGAAATAATATAGACTGAAAGACCGCTGCTGGACTTACGAGGTTAGTCCGGCCGCAGGATGGGAGTTGTCAGCGTCTGTGTTTTATATTGAAAATTGACTAGATAGCTGCATAAAAGTGCTTCCCCAAAAAACACTGATTTAAACACTACTCAAGAGTTCTGCAACTTGTTTAATTCTTGTTTGTGTTCCTCACGATTCTCTCTCTCTCCTAGCGTCTCTCCCTTTCTCTCTCTCTGTCAAAGCAGCATTGAGCAGCAGTTGCGTCTACATAAGCACAAGAGGAGCTGAGTGTTGTGACACACACTGGTCTGTGGCTACACAACATTCATTGCTGACATGAAGAGCTTGCGTACACTCAAAACTTTTAATAGTTCTCCAGCCATGTGCGAGTGCCGCCACCTCAAGGGGCAGCTGGTGTGATGGCACTTCGGTTCTGTTTATCCATAGCAGCGGTGCTCATAATGTAGATCAGGTGTTTCAATCTCACCGCTGATAGATCTGATTAGAATTTTTTATTTTTTTATTGTATGTATTTCAAGCTTATAAACAGGAATCGATTATGTAATTTACAACAGTTACATATTATACATGAGAGAAAGATGAATACATACATATATTTAAGGGTTTCCTTTCTTTTTCATTTTCCCGCACACACACACACACACACACACAGACATACAGACATAACCATACATATGCATACATACGTACACAGAAAGATAGATAGATAAATAGAAAACGTAGATATTTAATGGATCCCCGGAGTAATTCAGGTGTCCAGCAACAGAATCACATCGATCCATACAAACAAACAAACACATAATTCTAAAAGTTACTAAAAATATACAAAAAGCGTAACAGTACTTTTGATCACAAAGGCACTTTAGTCTACTGCACAACAGTATTGTTATAACACCTGTAATGTACAGATCTGTTTCTTAAATAAACACTGTCTGATTAGTTTAGTTTGGTTTCTTTTGGTCAAATCCACTTTAGTTGTATCATTAATACATTGTGTTTATCTCAACAGAAGGTCTTGATGAAATCAGTATGTTGTAAACAATAGTATGTTGTGTTCAACCTCTAGTCAAGGCTACTTTGGTTATGAATTCATCTATGGTTTGATGCAAAAAACAACCTTGGATGTGTAAACGACAAGAAAAAAACATGGATAATATGTATTCAAGTTGGGTACGACTTAAAATGGGTGGACAAGTGATACATCAGAACCTGTACACTCTAATTTGTGTAGCTCATCCTACACAATGCACGATTAAGATTAAGAGGTCCTTTATTCTATATAAGATATAACTAAGAATATATATATTTTTAAATGCTTCTCGCGATCAAACATGTAAAAAATGAGCCATGTATAATACTCCTGCATGACACTACCATAAAAAATCCATACATGCTTTTTCTCCAGCTCCTCATCTTTCCCTGCCGCTTCACTGGCGCCACAGAAAAGTAGAAATTTCATAATCTTTAATATTTTATCAGCAGCAGTAGAATCAGGTCCAGATATGACGGTGCCAGCGAGTCAGGATGCGCCGCAGTATCTGGCACTAAACGCACAAAGATGTTATCAACATGGCTGAGCCTGTTAGAGAAAACCACTCTGCTAATAAATAAAACAAGAGAAACCGGCTGGAAAGGTGCAGGTGCATGAGATGATGTTACCATGGCAACCGCAAGTACTAGCAATAATATTTTCTCAAACTTTAGCTTTCTATGTGAATTTTGCAGCTTAATGCGGTCTGGTTCATCAGTCGACTAGTATTTATATGGACGGCTTAAGGAGAAAACTGAATTTAATTAGATAAAGAAAAATCACAATATAAACTGTTAACCTTATTTTACTTAATTTGCATTGATGTGAACTTTTATTTATTTTTATTTTTTTAAATGGACACTTTAATCTTCTTTATTCTACACTAATATACCCAACTTTAATGATTTTTTTCTTTTTTGTAATATTTTTTGTTCTTCTTATTTTGCATTGTTGCAGCCTAGTAATTTGTCTTTTTCTGTTTCCAAGGCTTGAGTGCTCAGTAAATCTAATTCACCTTCCCCCTATATTTACTTCGTATTTGCATGTATATGTTTATTTGGATGGGACAGTGTTTATTAATATGAACGCCCACTGAACTTGTGCATACTTCCATAAAAAAATAAATTAAAGAAATCCAGGTTACATACATATTCTGTAACATACATACAGGGTTAGGGTTAGAGAGTTCAGAGTTAGCATTTACTATACCAGTATGGTGTTGTAAGTTGCATCTTTGGCTGTAACTATGTAATAACGCATCTTCCCTGTCAAATTAATACATAGATAAACTAACATTATATACTGTAACATTGATTGACTTAAATACAGGTGGATGAGACAAGAGTAGCAGTGTTCATTAATTTGATATATGCGTGGGATGAGGACGCCTTTGTCACCAATTAATGTCTAGATTGCAGGAAAAGGAAACTTAACAACGTTTGACAGAAGACTGAAGTAAAAAAGGTTATGATAATTTCCAGGAATTATTGAAAAGATAATGAGACCACACTGAGTTTGACATTTTGTGATTGGCAAATGGCTCTTAAATTACTGACTATTGCGCGGACTATTTTGGAGCTATGGTTAAACCAGAATGCACTTGTATCTAATCAAGTGGACTGAGAAATGTTCAGAGAATTTAGATTTAAAATAACTCAAAATTATTTCAGTTACATTTAAGAAAACCTCCACAGCTGCTCATAGCTTTATTTCATATCGATAAAAATGTTCTGACTTCCAGCTTGCGTACAATCGATCAAACTAATATCTGTCAACACAGGTACAACAACCCATAATAGAGCTGTAGTATAGCCTTAATTAGGTTTCATGCATTCATTATTTCTGATTGCACATTAATCATTGTATACATTAGGAAATTAAAATGCCAATCATACAGGCATGGTGAGTTTCACACACGCATGTTACATATAATGGATCCCAGAAAAAAACAAGGCATCGGCAGAACGTATGAAATATAATGCAAATGAACTTATATTTGAATTGGTCATCTGTTTTTAAAGGTGCCATATATCGCTTTTCTTCATTTTCCACGGTCCATCCTGAGCATGTGTGATAATAATTTGGGTGATACATAGTCATTTCAGACTTTTTTACAGGGTTTAAAGCACTGAAAACCTGGAATTTTAGTAGCGACTACATTACAATAGTGGGCAAACAAATGTCTAACACACAGGCATTCATGACCACCAATCAACGAATCAGATACGCGTCAATGCAACAACTACAATGTACGTGTCTTTCACTCACACCTACATTGATCCTACTTTTATATCCAATTGGCAGCATATTTCCTGAGCACAGCGGTTTTGAAAACTTTGTTCAATTGTCCAGTGCTGACACCGTTAAGCACCTCTGTCCCTACTGTACGGACAGAAAATAACCAGCCGCACTCCAGCCGGTCCCTTGGAGCTTTTTCTCCACTAAACTGTCTCTGGCCTCCGACAAGAGTTACTAACCCCAAACTGGACTTGAGCGAGCAAACAGTAATGGGATTTTCAAGAGGTGCTCAAAAGAGAGGAAAAAAATGAAAAAGATAGAGGGCACTAATGGACCAAAGACAGACTTTTCCAAAGCGATGGCAACAGAGATCAAATGAGAAAAAATCTAAAAGAGCTATGATCTTCAATGTGGAGCTATTTTTTCTGTTATATATTGAGTAGAAGGATGATAGTGTCCAAATATCCAGTCCGCCGGGGAGAGGGAAAGTACTTCACCAAAGCACGACCATCTGTCAGAGCTAAACATGGTACGTCAGCAGCGATTGAAAGTACCTTGAGCTGAAGATGTTGTTTATTTGTGTATGTTGATCCGATATGGAGGAGAGAGGCTTAGACAAAATGTGCTTTTTGACAGGTGGAACAATATAATCCCGGAATGAAAATGTGGTGAAATTAGCGTTGGCGTATGATGGGTTTGAAACGTCATCTCGACATCACCTTACAATTTACAACGTTTATTAAACCCTGGCATAATTGCTTGAAATCTATTTTGTTTGAACCGATCTTGAATCTGTTGCTGGCAAAACTTAGAACCGAATTCTATACCGCAGATATAGTACAGCTCATTTTTTGAAGTAAAATGACAAATGGATACCTTTTGGCTTAAAAAAAAAAAAAGAACAAAAATAATTCTAAGAGGTCATTGTTTTGAAATGTTCGATTGGAATATGTTGCAACACCCTTTGACCTGAAACCATATGGGAAAGGGTCAATTTAATATCAACAATGGTTCCTAACAAAATATAATAATCAACGGTTCCTAATAGTTCTTGCTGGCTATGAATAACTGATTTGCAATCATTTTTACTGTTAAATTATGTATGTATTTTAGACAAACTGTCATACTAATATAACTGTCTTTAAAATAAGTGCAATATTTTAGATGGAAGACTGTTGAATCACAGAACTAGTAGTACTGCTCTGTTGGCTCATCTCCCACTCTACCCACGCCTGTTACTGTATGCATCACATATCTCCTACACTTACAATCTCGACACGCACTAAAAAATCCATAAAACATCCTGTCATTCCCTTTGGTCATCTTTACCTTTCTTTCTCAAGGTTTGAAAATAACCAAGCTCAGATATCCTCCACAATAGAGCAATGTGTTAAGACAATTTAAAGAAAATGTATATCTGATCCCTGTTATTCATCAGCTATTTGGTCAAACTGTCGTATCGTTGAAGCTACGAAGCTGTATTATAAAGAAGGTCTACATGAAAAGGGGACAAAATCTGACCAAATGGGGAAGGGATTTCAGGGTGGTGCAACTATTCATCTTCCGATCAACAATGAAGCTAAAAGGCTTCCAGCATCTAAATGATTGTCCAGTGGCTACATTGTAAAGCACTTTGGGTGAGCTTGGTCTGTAAAAATGTGCTATATAAATAAAGATTACTTACTCACTCACTTACTAAAACCGCTGTACCTGAAGGGGCCTGTAGTTGTTCAGTAATTAGAATCAAAACAATTCTAATTAGTAGTACTATAGTTAGTAATGGTAACTATAAACGATTACTGTATTTTATAACTAAATCAGGTACATGTTTGTGTCATGTTTTTGAAACTCAATACCCAATATATTTTGAAAGCGACATTTGATACGGTAATGAGGGGCCACAGCGCTCCAGACTTTGGGAACCGATCCGATGTCAAACTAATGTCAACAAATTATCAGTCTATTAAAAATAATTGGCTCTGAAAGAACTTATTCCCTCATGTTGGTCAATTCATTCAGCCCTTTAGTCAAATATTTAGCCAATGTTTTTTGACCGAACTTGGATTAGCGATGTATGTTCCCATAGTTGTGTTCTGATCACGTTTCAAGATTATAGTGAGGAGGCTTTCTAACTTCTCTCTCACACTCATTTCAACTCTTTTGATACATCTCGTTGCTTGATCTAACAATGCCATTTGTTCTTTACGCGTCGTACCTGGTATTCACTGGGCCAGAACGTGCTGACGGCCAGTTCCACCGGGTGCCACTGCCGTCCCTGGGAGCCGGAGATGTTCCACACGGCCGAGCCTTTGGGGCCGTTGTTGATGCGGATGAAGACCTGCAGATTTCCCGGACTGTGACCGTCGCGGCTGTACAGGAAGTAGCTGAACTGGATGCAGTGGGTGTCGTTCTCACTGAGCGGCAGGAGCAACAGCTGTGCACGCTGGCCTCCGTAGTGCTGCGAGGAGTTCACCATCATGAAGGAACCTGAAGAGACAGACGGGATATGATAAGCCCACACAAATAGTCCCAGTAGTCAAAGTCAACCAATTGCTGATGTGTAACTTTCTAGATACATAAAATAATACTTATTGTACACTATTGTATACTTTGTACATACTGTCAGAATCAATACAACCAGATGATCATGGTGTATTTGGTTCAAAGACACTAGAATGAGTGACTTACGCATAGATAATTGTGCTGCTATTTTTCAACTTCCTCATTTGCAAACATCACTGTAAACGTGAGCTAAGTGCCAATCATAGCAGGCTATGTTAGCGTGTATATCTCATGAAGAAGGGAAAACAAAATCTGTCAATTTCACTCAGTATTTCCCATATAGAAATGTCCAAAAATATTATAATGTTAAAACGTAAAAAATTGCAGACAAACAACAAAATAAGACCGAGCAAAACCCTTTGCAGCAAGCAATCAGATAGTGCATTCAGCAGTATAGACATACGTTTTATGCTGATTTGTTGACAGCAAGTCAGCAGAGAGATACCCACAATGCACTATGCAATGTTCTATCTGCCGAGCCTCTCCCGCGCACTCTTTCCATGTGCTTGTCTGTCTAATGTTTTGAGTGGCACGCCGATAAACTGAAGGCAGGAGACGAGAATCTAGCTGCAAAAAAATCTCTTTTTATGTCAGCATTCAGATAAAGGAATTCAAAAAAATCATAAAAGTAACAAGTGTTGGCATATTACTGTTTAATAATGTAAGAGGTTTTTACATAAAATGTGGCGAGCTAGCCAGGAGCTGACAATCTCTCATTGCTGTCAACATACAAGTATATACAAGTATATTACAAAGGTCTAGTAAGAGGCTATGCAGCGTGTTTGCTTTATTCTCCCGCCCACTTGAAGTTCTATTATAATATATTTGGATCCCTGTACCGATGGAACATCAGAGTAAACAATAAACAAATGGAACAATTGTGTGCTGCTTTTTTCTTCTTCTATGTAGGTCATTGCCAAATTGAAGTTGTAACACAACCTTTTTCATGTTGTTGAGGATTTACTGGTCCCTGCAAAAGAGTTGACATATTTATTTGACCCAATACAAAAAGATCACTCTAACACAAACGCGCTCACTCTAACACAAAATCTTCTTAACAAGAAAACACAATTCACCTTATTTCAAAAGCTTCTTCCCACTATTTCCTTCGCCAGGCTCATGGTCTTCTATAATTTAAACCCGCCTCTGTTTAGCCTGCGGTTGTTACCAAGCTTATCTGTCCAATACTTTCAAGCTATTTATTTGGTCTATTTCTGTCTTTGCCTACTACTTCCTGGGTTCCCATCATTTCTGGAGCGAATGTACCTGTTCAGATGTGCAGTGTTCAAAGACCCTCTCTCGCTCCCTCTCTCCAGGTGTCAGATCACACTTTGATTTGGGATGCAGGTTCATAGAGGCACAGCTGGCCATCGCACCACAGAAACACATACTGTACGAGAATCCGTGGTTTGGAGAGGAGGGCCAGGACTGATCCACATATATATATATATAAATATAAATGTATAAATAGGAGGACTTTGAATGCTGGCTTGCACCGTTGTGGGAAGCCACACATTAAGAGAAAAGTTTGAAGCTTTCAACAAACGGACTTTCCTCTGTCCAAAAAACAGAGGAAATCTTACAGAAACCATATGAACACACTGTAAACAAATAGGAAACCGTATATTTTGAATTGAATATATCTTTTTCCCATTGATCCATTTCTGGTTCGAGGGGGTGGCAATCCGAGCTGCCAACCAAAGATTACCAATTAGCTATCTGTAAGTCTTAAAAAAAGTCTTTCAAGATGGCACCTCCAATATGCGGTGTTCGGTTCAAATCAATAATTTTGCTAATGGAAAACATCTATTGTCCATTCTTGTTGCACAACATTTGTTAATGAACAACATTACAAAATCTAATATTTTTTTAAAGGACAGCATTATATTTTCTTCAGCCAATTCTTTTTGGTTTTTGCACAAGAAGGTAACTTTAATTAAATACAACTATAAATGCTGCAGCAACTGCTCCAAGACTCATTAATAATTTGAAGCATAACCATTTTAAGATAATTTTGGCAATGTGACCAACTTGGCAAAGTTACCACGTTGGCTGTTTTCTTACTCAGAAATAATTAATTCACTCTCACAACTGGCACTACGCTGAATCTGTGACCTCTGGAAGTTAGAAAGCAGTCTTGAATGTAAATGTAAGTCAACAGCAGGCATAATATATATAAAACTAATATTACCATAATTAAACTTGGGCTTACTTTCCTAGTGTTTTCTTTTATTGCAACAGACACTGTTGTCTCTTCACAAAGTACCCAGGTTGGTGAGCACATGGCACATTTGACACTGTTCTACCATCCAAAAGCTCCCATATGCTGTACAGTCTGGGCTCCACCACTACTCATCTTGAGTCCACCCTGCTTTTTTCAAAACACTGTGATAAGATGCACCACTTATTCTGCAGTTCAGAGCTTACTACAATTTTGTTTCTAATGAGAACTGAACAACATTCCATGACTTGTTCATGTTTTTGCTGAAAAAGAAATGATGGATATCCAGAGAGAGAGATCGACAGATAGGGCTCTGATAAGCTGCCAGATATTCATGGCTTTCCGCTTCCTCCTTTTTCCATTCAAAATATACATGGAAACACATGTCTCCTTATGTATTTGGCTTCCCTGTAGTTTCTCTATTTTGGGTTTTTGAGTTGATCCTTGCCGATGCAGGAGGGTCTAAGGGCAGTAATGACCCAGAACAAAAGCAGACCAAATTCTGCTACCCTATGGGCCAAAGGCTTCTATGTGTTTGTTTTATTACTGCATATCCTGTGTGCAAATGGTTTGATTCTCAAATGGATTGTTGGCAAATTGACCATTTTGTTAGAAAAAAATTTGCAGATGGAAAAGGTCCTCATTAAAATCATCATTAAATAAGCCAGACCCTCAATGAAAGTCGTCAATAGGTATACGTATATTCTGTGTGTGTCACGTTAAAATTGTATCTGTAATATAACACTTTTATGGCATCAAACAAACAAAAATATACCTCATCCAAACTTACCACAGCCATTTTGCCAATTCTATTGACTCCAAGCATCAGCCCATGTCCCATTTCCTATATCTAATTGCAATATTGATTTGAAACCAACCGTCGCCAATTTCCAAACATTACCTTGCCCAGCTTTCAGTTACCTTGGGAGAGTCCATTGTGGGATTCTAACAAGCAAGTCTCAGAGGTTTAGATATATCCGGCAAGAGGGACAGCTGGATTAAATTGCTCATATAACCTTCACATTGGTCAAATACGGCTTGGGCTTTAGACAAGAGCATCGTGGGTATTGTAGTTCACTAGCGCATCGGGAGCAGTGCCGTGTGTCGTTAATCATACTGACTGGTTATTAGGATGTAACGGCAGCTCGGGGAACGCTGCAAATAGAGGGATGGTGGCAATGCGGCCGCACTGACAGCATGTATAGGCATATCGACAAGTGTGTTTTTATTCGGATTGGATGTGTTTTGTGTTTGCTGCAAGGTGTTTTTACGTCAAGGCTTTGCGGGTAAAGAAAAGGGCTTGTTAGATAGTTGCTGGTATGTATATGGATAAGTTGATGCTGGGACACAGTTTTGGGTTTAAAGTGTAGTATAATTTTAGTAGCAAGATTTAAAGTAATGTTATCATCATAATCAGCTAATTAACTGTAAACAATTTTGTTGGAGGACAAAGTGCATATAATTTTTAATTTTAATTTTGAAATGTTAAATATAAATAAGTAAACTGCTATGTACACTCGAATTCTCCATTAGAAAATACTTTAAAAAATACAATTAAGAAGAAATAAGTTGAGGTTACATTTGCCAGATGAATTGGGTATTTTTATACTATATTTTTTCTTCCACATTCTTTCTTTTTTTTCTGTCATTGGTTTTGATTTAGTTTTTTAAGTGTGACTAAATTTTGACTTACTGTCACCTAAATGCAGCACACACTGTAAACTCACTTTCACAATATTAATCATCTGGAAATAATACAAAAAAAGAAAGTACTTTTATCATAAGTATCATAAATTTTGCACCTATTATCCACCATAACAAATATATTCTTTATTATAACCTTGTGACCAGCATCAAGTTTGTCGGAACACGTCTAGAGATTGTAGTGTTTCTGTGGGATTTTCAGGAGAAGAATTGGGGGAGAATAACATAAAGAGAATAGTAAAGGACTTTTTGTTTGATTAAAAGCATGTTGTTTTTTTTTTTTTTTTTCTGAACCGTCTGCCGCTTGTTGGTAGCATACTGCATCTCAGACCAGCTGTGGGTTCGCAGTGTTCTAAACGCTCACGCTGAAATTCATAAATCGCAAATAGCTTCACTCACTGCACACCTCACCCACATATTTAAGTAAGGGCCAATGAGTTTTAGAAGCACTCTAAATGGTGCAACTAAAAGTATAGCTTTTTAGCCTTGAATACGTTCACTGGCCAAAGAAACAAAGCCTGACATCATTTATAGGCTACTTTCAGAGAAATATTAGGTGATTCTGTTTTATCACAGCTCACACTAAAGAACATTGGCTAAAAAACATTTTATTTTTAGCCAAGAACTTCTGATTTATTTGTCTTTTGGTTGTTTGCAATATAATTTATGTTCACTAATTGGACTGTGTCAGGGAAGCAGCAGTGTCCCCCATCGAACATTTAAGAGTACATTTATGATGGTAAATAACTCAACAGGAAAGAAGGAACACGCTGGCTTTTTAATCGCACCGCTGGCTTTAACAAAACCATTTTTATTCTACTACTTCCGCATATATTTGTAAACATTGAGTGAATAACATGACATTTATTTTAAAGAACAAATATTATACATTTTATTGGTAAATGTTTTATTAGTATTTCATATTTCTTCACTGCAAAAAAATTCTAAAATATGATGTAATGCTTTAATCAAGTGGTTTTAATCCTAATTTGAGTACATA